ATTTTTTGCTTTGGCCGCGTCAAAGGCCAAAGCTGCCTCCTTAAGAGCTGCCTTCATTCAGTGTCATGCTGGGGTGTACTTTCAAAGGTTTTGAGTTGGCCTTCAACAACACTGGCTCTCATGTCCTGAGGTCGCTTTCATCGCAGGCGCTCATACTGGGTGAAGTGTTCCTCAAGCTTCAACAACTGAGGCAGGATGGACAGTTTCATGTTGAATTTGGGGTACGCCATTTTGGGGGGGAGCAGATTCATAGTGCGGTTCCGGGCTTGTGGCTGGCAGTTCCACAGTGGTTGTCGAACTGGAAGCGTTCTTGGTCAACTCCACCAGCCCTGTCTGCAGGATGGAACAATCGCTCTTTCTCTGGCTGCAGCTGCTCTCTGCACTGCCTGGCTAGCCGCGTTGGCCGTGGCTATGAGGGCTTGAGTCAACCCCGGAAGAACTCCTGACCTATCAACCTCTCTTCTCAATCTCTCTTCACACCTTGCCGTTTGAAGGACTCAAAGCTGCCTTAGGCTTCTCCTTTTCCTGAATGAGGGCAACCTGGTAGTCCAAGGAGGCAAGCTCAGGCTCTGATTTTCGAGAGCGCTACACTGGGGGTAAGGGTCCTGCCCCCTTTCAAGGCTCCGGAGAACTGGACAGATCTGCGAAATGTTCCTCACGGCTCCGCTACCATGCGAGCCCCCTTTTGAACTGCACTTAAAAGGCCAGTGGTCAGTACACTTCTTGATTTGATTTGATTTGTGTGTGTGTCATCACACCTGTATGTTCATCGCTGAACTGGAATGCTTTGTTTCCCCTGGCACTGTCCCATTTGTGGCATTCCCAGTATACACAGGTTGGGTAGAATCCAACAAACTCCCTTGCACCCCTCATCAGTGTCAAGCAAGACTCACATACTTCTGAGCGTCGTGCCTTTTCGGGTCATGGCATGCACATCTGAGATGCTCTTCACCTTTGACACGCCCGAAATATCGCCCTGGATGGTGTACAGGGGCAGCTGCGCCACTGTGCCGTCCTCACGCTAAAAGTTTAAGTCAAAACGACTGCCTATGAATCATATGAGACATCTATGCAAAAATGCCTTTTTCTCATCCAAACCAGAAAAGCCGGAAACAACGCGACGCCCTCCAGTTGCCACACTCTTCAAACTTGATGCGCATGTTAGATTCCAGCCAGTCGTGGGGAGCCAAGTCTTTCAAGTTTGAGGGGCAAAGTTCAAGGTAGATGACGGTAGGTGGAATCAATATAAATAGTTTCTTTGTAGCACAGGTCGAAATAGCAATGTTTTCGTTTACAAGTGAGTGTAGCGAATTCCACCTCATAGCAAGCAAGCTATCTTCAACCTTTGGCGCCCACAAAATTCAACGACACGCTCCGGCTCCTTTTCTCCATGCTGGGCAGGAGTCGACACACAGCCATCTTGCGGCTTTTCCAACACCCATCCTACCCAAGTGTTTCAGCTCAAAGTCCTTTGCTGCTTGGTGGAACATCACCGGCCATATGGTGTCCGGGAAAGCGCATTTGCGCCAAAACTGAACCAGATCGAGGGCCCATGGGAAAAGGGTCACCCCATTCAAAGTCTGCATCTTTACAGGTCCAGGAAGGCGGGGCATGAACTGAACACTCCAAGCCTCCTGGACGTAGATCTCCATCATCTTTGTACTGATCCACCATCCACGTCGGCGGGTCAGTTCTGAGTTTTCACTTGTCATGAGCAGCCAAGAAGCTCCTCCTGCTCTCAACAACCCAAGGTCTATGCCCCTTGAAATGCGCTGCGGGACAGAGCTCGCCTTCAAGAGGCGCTGGAAACGAGCCCTCATAGTCTGACTTGAAGCCGGCCACAGCTTCTGCTCTGAGCCCAGGTGTGCAAAGGCAACCTCGATCACCTTGAGGAGTTCGGGGTGGTCAACTCGTGCCACCTGGTGCCTCGCACTTCTGAACCGGGCTTTTGGTTCCCGGATTTGCAACAAAGCGTAGTCTGCGCAAAAACTCGACGTCAATGGGCAAGACCAAATCTTGCCTCAACCGCCCCATCACAGGGCGATGACGCCAGCTACTCTGCTCCATCCCCACATCCACGAAGTAGTGAGGAGGGGGACCATTGCCTGCCATGGCAGCGCTAAGTGGTGCACTGGGGGCCCCTGACAGAGCCAGGAGTACGCCAAATCCCAAGCCGGTTGGAGGCTCCGGCGAATCCGAGGCCTGCGCCGCCCTCCTCTGCTCGCGGCACGGGCGCGGTCGGCTCCATCCCTACAAAACATGGCAAGACCATGGCGGACGGCTGCGACGCCTAAACCTTGGGGTTTAGCTACTAGGATTATAGAACATTCTCAGGCTGAAACCCATAAGAAATCCAAAAGGCTGAAATCCAAGACAGGAGAAAGCAGAGGCATGAGCCCAAGAATGCAGAGACATAGCTTGTGAGGCTTGTCCAGTTCTGAAAAAATGAAATCCAAGAGCCAAAGTGACGGAGCTCAAAGGACCTTTGCCAGGAAATCCAAGAGAGCTGTCAAAATCCATGAGGAATGGAAAAGCCGCTGCATCCTTGATGATTGGGTAACGCTTGAAATCCACATGGCTGAACCTCCAAGAATCTGCTCCCGATGCGCTGAGCCATGCTGGAAAAACATCAAGCTGACGCAAGACAAGGCGGACCCAGTTCGAAGCCAGGCGATTCAGGCCAGGGATCTTCATCAAGTCCAGAAGCTGATGGTCAGCTGGAAGCAACCGAGTAGGTCCAAAGTGATAAGAAGGATAGAGGCAACCAACTACGATAGTAGCGCCTGATCTTCTCAATGCCTTCCGCAGGCCAATGGAGGGAGATCTGCCTTTGACCAGAGCTGACAGCCCGACATTTCAATCCATACAGACCGAGAAACGGGTCTTTGGTCGAAGGACAGCCTCATTCTTGTAGAGTCTCTCAGCAGCCAGGGCTTCTTGGATGTTGATATGAGAAGGTCTTGACCAAAACCAGCTCTTTTCTATCTTCCATGTTGACGAAAGTAGAATGTCATTGACAACGGGGGTCTCCAGACCATGTACTTCAAGGCGCTGGCAGCCTTCTCCGTGGTGGCCTGGAACGGCTGCCTAGCGGTACGCTGGCACACTGGGGCTGGAGAGACTTGGCCTGATTTTAACAGGTTTTCCACCTTCTCCTGCCTTTCCTGCATTGCGGCCAACTGGGTTGATATAGCAGGGAGAGTCTTGGATAGCTCGCCAATCTGCTCGGCAAGGGATACTGTAGTCACTCTCTTTGGCGGCGAAGCTCCACCAGGGGCATTCTTCTGTTTCGCTTTCTGAGATGAACGGGCCGGAGCTGGCTGGACAGCAGGAGGCTGCTCTTCGGCCGAGTAGAACTGAATCCTTCCCTCTTTTTGCGCATCCAACCAGTTGCAGGCACTCAGAAGCAGGGAACTCGATTCTGGATAGATCTCCGGCTTGTCTTCCCAAAAACAATGGGGATCCATTAGGCTCGAAGCCTCTCAACATGTCCGTCACTGACTTGTGGAAGTCCACCAACTGCCTCCAACTCGAAACCAGCTGGAGTCTCTGTGCCATCTTCCTCCTCCAAAATTGCAAGGACTGCGATCACAGCCGAAGGACCGACAAGATCCTCCGGCGATGCTTTCTCCCCCCAAGTTCAAAATCGGCTCCGGGATGAAACCCAAAGGAATAGCCAGCATGATGCCTGATGTACGGGACACCACGCACTATACTGCCTCCATGCTGAGATAGATCCAAAGTCAGAACATAGACATTGCAAGTGCCCTGATCCAGAAAAATCAGCTCCTGAACACGCATCGCCTCTCATTGGCCTCAGGAAGATCAAATCCAGCAGCCTTGCAGTAGACCTCGGCCTCTGAGATGGAAGCAAAGGCGTGGGATACGGAGATATCGTCGAAGGGCTGCAGCTTGCAGTACTCAGCAAAAGAAGACACACGTACCGGCCGAGGCACGTTTGGAGCCCTGACTGAGGACCACGTAGATGGTGTTCTGGAGGCGAGACTTTGGCGTAGGCCTTAATTGGTTTCTGGACCCTGCCTTCCAGAGTTGCCCTGCCCAGCAGCCAGCAACCCAAGCGCGATAAGCACGAGCTTTGATGGAAGCCTGAGTGCCAGTAAGCCGATCGCAGAGGCCAATGCAATACTCAGGCAATTCCGGGAAGCTGTAGTAGACTTCGCCGTAGGTGGCAGATGACACAGAGCCAGGAGACCCAAGAAGGGGCGCCTGACTAGGACGAGCCACAGGAGTAGTTGGAGCCGCCTCCGGCACAAAACCCCAAGCTGATCCAACCTCACAAGGAGCGGAAGCACCAGGAGGGCCAGACCAATCGGCGCAAGGCGCTGGAGATGGCAGGAAGGCCTCAGCCCTGACGGCAGCAGCCTCAAGTGACTCCGCAAGGCCGTGGAGAGCCCGGGCGGTAGCTCGGGCAGCCTCAACCAGAATGAGAAGGCCTGTAGCCGCGCTCATGCAAGTACGCCTCGAGGCGTGAAGGAGGTGACCGGCAGTGGTGGCGCAGTGGCAGGGAAACCAAGAAAGCACCAGCAGGCAAGAAGGCCAGAGCACAAACAGCCGCAGCAAAATCCACAGACCCAAAAGGCAAGGATAAAGGCTGCAGACGAGGAGCAATGGGCTGGGCAGCCTAAGCCAAACCAACCTGTAGCTGAACCCCAGGAAATGAAGCTGACCAGATCGGTCAACCACAAAGGCATGAGGCTTTGAGCCAAGCCACCGAAGTCTCAGAATTAAAAGGTCACATTCTCTTGTCACCTTACCATGTACAACGCACCTAGGTCATCTACAAAGTAGGATCCATTTTCGAGAAGCTCCAGTGAATATTTACACATGCCTGGCTGGGAGATTTGGGAAGCCTTTCAATAGCCGTAGCCCAACACTTTTCCTTGGCTCTGCCTCAAGTCCAATTGATTTGCTCAAGTCTGTCCTTAGCCTCCACCTCCGTATATCCGATGACCTTGTTGCCATTTTCCTTAAGATTCAGCTCGGAGAGCTCTGACCATCGGACCTGCAGTGGCCAATTACAAAGGCAACAAGTCAAGGAACACCTGTGGGGACTCTAAAGAGCGTCCGCCAGGTCGCATAGTCACGAGTCCTTTCAACCTCCAAATCGGGCCAATCTCCATCGACGTGCAAGACTGCATCTGCTGTGAAGAAGACCTAAGAAGAGTTCATCAAGTCTCACGTTCTGAAGTTTCTCCACAACAGAAAGTTGTGGAATTGTTGAGGAAAAAGCAGAAAATCTGGCAGCAATGTTTTGGTCATGCAGCAGAGCTTTTTGACATCTTTTTGGCTTCCCCTGGGCACCCCCTGCTTCTGGCAATGCCGCGATGGCTTGAAGAAAGTCTTGTTGCTCTTTGGCACTGCGCTCAGGCTGTCCAGGCTCGAAGGGGTTCTGGCTCATGCCTTGGACCCAAAGAGACACCCGAAGGGACACGCAAACAGAAAACCGAAAACCCGAAGGAACACGCTCCAAGGCACTCATGAAATCATAGAAAAGCAGCCTTGGTTCAGCCCCTCAACACGATAATGCTATATACAAGATTGTAGGCCATTGCTATTGCGTTCACAGTCATTTGGCAAGGAGCGGTTCACCCGAGATCTTGTGGTCCTTCAACGCCTGCAGCATTGAAAGACTTCTGTATGACACGCATGGAATGCCTCACTAGTTACATTCCACTAGGACAATCAAGAAAAAATTGCGCCTCTGTTGTGAGTTTCTTGACTGTTTCGGCCTTCTTCCCTGATCAAGAATGCTCACACCGACTTTTTCTCTGCGCCAAGGAAAGAAGAAACTTGTGCAGCCGAGATGCCCAAAGGGTCTGGATGCAGCTGGTGAGACCAGGCATGGGACACAGCCAGAACCAAATCATCTTTTGTTGGCACTTTTCCTATGAAATCCGTTGGCAGCGGCGCCACACGCAAATGGTCATGCGACGTATGTTCTCTACTTATTGTCTTGGAGAAATCTAGCATGCAACAGCCAAACCAACAATTCTTGGAGCAAGGGCAACTTCAAGAGGGTTTTTGTGCTGCCTAGGAACGAGATGCCCCGAACTGCGTCACAATCTCTTGGTCTAAGTGCAGAAGCAGGTCAGCTATTTACCATGGAAAGCCACAGCTGTGTACCAAAAATCAGCTCCCAACATCTGGGCCAAGGTGTTGGAAGCTCCTCTACCACCTTCAAAGGCCTCACAAGAATGCTCTAGACATGACGGGGACTGTGTTCCGCAAGTGTTTGTTCACATCAAATGTTTTGCCAAGCAGCGTAAAGGACACCACTTCATCAAGACCTTTTTTAGCAGTGACCTGAAGGTCTTGTCAAAAAAAACACGTTGTGAGGTCTCATGAGTCATTGTCGTTCTTGATTGAAATGCGTCAACAATATTCAAGGAACTGTCGGATGCCGGAAGTCTTCCGAGGACTGTGGTGCCAATGTCGGTTTTTTTGCCATGGCAAGACAAGGATGTGCTGTCTACCGTGCTCAATGCAGCAAGTTTGACGATCTCTCATTCTAAGTCCATTTTGTTTTCAGTTGTCAAAACTCAGACCTTTTCTGTGGGTTTGGTTTGGAAAAATCATTCTGGTTTCTAAATTGTGACTCCAACAAAACCAATATATTTCCTCCGGGGGGGTTGGGCAGCTTTCGGGCCAAAAGGCTCACATTTCTGTGTGGCAATCAGCAAACCACCGCTGCAGTAACATGTTGAGATGCTGAACTCGGTGCTGTCAGTAACCTTCAATATTTTTGGCAAGATTCGTGGTTTGCATCTGAAAAGGAACAAGATGGAACCCACGAACCCGAATGCCAACACGTACTCGAAAACAAACACCCAAACAATTTTTAGCACTCTTGTAGGAAATACTGTTGTGGGACGCTCTTGTAGCACACATTCTTTTGGGAAACCTTTGTGCGACACACTTGCGGACTCTTGTGGAACACCTTGTAGGACACTCTTGTGGAACACTCTCGTAGGACACTCTTGTGGGACACTCTTGTGGGGCACTCTTGTCCTGTAGGACATATTTGTGGACACTCTTATAACTTATATGACACTTTTGTCGGACGCTCTTGCGCAACACTCTTGTGGGACACTCTTGTGGGAAAGTCTTGTAGGACACTCTTGTGGGACACTCTTGTAGGACACTCTTGTGGGGCACTCTTGTGGGAAAGTCTTGTAGGACACTCTTGTGGGACACTCTTGTAGGACACTCTTGTGGGGCACTCTTGTAGGACACTCTTGTCGGACATTTTTGTGGAACAACGTTTCCAGCTCTCCAACTAACAAGTGCAAAGCTGCTGTCGCGCATCTTTTCTCTGTCGTTAAAGGTGTGCTCGAGTCCTCTTGGCCTCACCGGTGATGGACTCAGGTACTTCCATCCCGGAGCCAAGAAAGAGCCTGTACACTGTCCGCCTTATACGATCGCTTTAAGCGGAACACAGTTTGGGGCGGTAGCGGGTGCTTGACAAGGGGGTTGCCCTGCACCTTGCGCCGTTTGAGCGAGGGAGCAGGCAGGACGGCAAGCTCGTGCTGTAGATCCTCATGCTTTTGCCGTAGCAGTTCACAGCGAAAGAGGGGTGGGTCGTGAGGAGAGAGGCTATAGCGGTCAGTAAGATATAGCGGTGTAATGCTGCGAGATGCTCCTCTGTGGGACACGGAGCCGCCCAGAAGCCATCATGTAACCAGATGGCCGAGTGGAAGCCAACTATGGGCTGTAGGAAGCTGTAGGCAGCCCAGGTAAGATGTTGTTCCAAGGTTTCAAAGAAACGGAACGGTGCAGCCCTGCTTCGATCACGCTCTCGAGCTGGGCACCATGTAGGCGGACGATTGATTACGTATCGGCTGGCTGCATGTAGCTCAAGGGCAAACCGAGTAATCTCGGGTGGTAGAGGCTGAGCTAGGTGAGGCAATTGGCGAGATAAGAATGTGAGGGCTTCTTGCGGGGTGTCACTGTTGATGATCACTAGTGGCCATTTCTTGACGAGACCCTCATAAGTGTCGGAGAGGGCCTGTGGGTCAGGTGGTGTTAGTACAGCCTTGAGCCATTCCCTTGTGGCTTGGATGGGAGGCAGCGAGCCATGAGCCCCAGTCTGGGCACAGCATCGTCTCACAAGCTCATAATGCGCCCCACTAATGTCAATTTCACAGTGATTGTGGCCGAACAAAAGTAACCGGACTTTACGCGGAAGCTGTTGCGCTGCTGGCCCAACTGTATAAAACCGCCCAAGCCCATCACCTGAGGATGGTTTGTACCCTACAGTTAACGTACCTTCGCAGCTTCTCGCAACTGCAAGATAGTCCTGGACTGCGTTTCCCTGAGATTTCAGTTGCGAGATGATTTGGGCTAGACTCGACCCTCTGTAGTCGTTGCTGGACATTCAGTGAGAACGAAGGCGGGTGCTGGTTGCAAAGGGCCACTCTCAATAACAAACGCGAGTTTCTGTGCGAGGTGGTACGGTGGCAGTGCACGGTGGGCAGCGACTGCAAGCGGTTGGTCAAAATGTACCTTTGCCTTGGCACTCGCTTGTCCTGCAAAGTAATCAGCGAGCTTATTGCATTCTCGAGGCAGGTATACCAGCCTGAAGATGAAGGGAGCACCTGCAAGAAGGTTCTGGCACTCCTCTAGTATCCTAACTACCTCGGGCCGTTTTACCCGCCCCTTACCTTGGAGGTAGTTAAGGAGTGGGAGAATGTCGCCTTGAAGAACGATTCCCTTTTGTGGTATACCTCGCGCCAGACATTGCTCGTGATATTCAACGGCGAGGAGTACAGCAGCTAAGCAGGCTTTGGCCTCCGCTATAACATTATCTGCACATGGGACAAGTGGGATGGATTTCCATCGTACTAAGGTAGTGGCTTCTTGGGTAACTTGCAACAAGCTAACGCCAGCCCCACCTGTCTGGGTACGTTTGTGAGCCGAGCTTAGGATGATCGTTTGGGCCAGTGTCTGAACGATGTTAGCAAACAATGATTTTATATAGGGATGATTTTCAACTATAGCAAAAACATTAGAAATTAATACTACTATATTTACACCAAATTACAAAAGTTCAAAAACTAATAATCTTTAGAGTTTACAAAACAAAAAATAAACTTTTCAACGCACACGTACTACGTGTTTTGGTATCTTTTAACTATATAAATTTAACGCTCCACATAATACAAACTCTAACGTCAACTGCTCTCCTGATACTCCCGAGTCCCAAATACCAGATGAAACTTTTGACTTCCGAAACGCTCTGTCACACTCAAAGTTCCAAACAGTTCTCAGTAATCTGCATTTTTCACGCTGATCACTGGTCATGGCTCATTCATCAACCCTGTCGAGGCTTAAGAAAACTCATCAGGGTTCCCTTTGAAGCAGCCGGTTTGGCTTTCAGTGCTTGCGTCTTCTGTACAGCCGGTTGACGCTGACTGGCCTTAGCTTTGGCCTTCGCTGCTGAAGCCTTTGGCATTTGATACTCCGGCGTTGGAGGAGACTTCGTATTAATGCGCCGGCTCTTGGACATCTGAGATGAGGCTGGCGAAACAGGCGGCTGATTGTGTCAGCTCGCTTGGGAAGGTCGAGACGGTCGAGACATTTCAGAGTGTCATATTTTGACCTGTCGGAACCTGCGGTCAGCCTGCCTATCCGGATCACTCGCATGTCAGCATCACCGTTCCACTGCGACAAATCTGAAGGACTCACATTGGCTGAAGGTGAGGCCTTGAACTTCACGCCTGACAGACAGAAAACAAATTTCAACGTTCATTCGCTTGGCGAAGGGAGCAAACCTTTACACTTTGAACTCCTTGAACCTTGAACACAGCTTCAACCAAGGCGCTTGAGAGAATCATGCTCAAAACTGCACCGACAACCGGTACAGAAATGGAATTCCCGGCAATTCTGTTAATTTCCAAATCCTTGAGTGACAAGCTAAGCTGCATGTCGAGGCTCATCCCCTTAAGGGATAAACAGTGAAAACAATAACTTAGAACAAGAAGCTGGAATTGCTGCCTCTTCTCCGTGAACCTCACCGCTCAAGGACAGCCGTGGAAACCCGTGGCCGAGGTACAGAAGCTCTTCTCCAAGAACCAAACCTGAGACACCAACAAAAACACACACACACACACATACCTGTGGCCTGTGGTCACCTGTGTGCTGAAGGTGTTGTGCTTGTCTCACAAACAGCCTTTGAATCTGAGCCAAGAATAATTGAGGCTCAGACGCTGACGGGATACAGACCACAAACGATGACCACGCAGCAAGCAAGGAAAACAATTCTGATAGCTTTTGTGCTTCCAATAAGTGTAGGTCACATTGTTGGTCAAATCCCAAAAGTATTGAGCCGTTGCGATAGGTTGCCCAAGCTCCTCCAACCTGAAAAAAATAAACAAATGCAAGTGAGCTCGTCTGACCCCTATGTGCATCACTGCCACTTGCAGAATGTTTCCCGATCAAGTCAAGTAACACCCAAAGGTGCACATAGAGGTTGGCTTGCTCACGGGGTGTCAGAATCGTCGACCACGCGTTGTTGTAGCGCTCATGCAAATGCTCTAGAGGAGGAACCTGAAGGTATGAATAAAGATGCAAAAAAAAACAACCGGACCCAACTCACAAAACAACTCAAGACACAAAAACACATGACAACTCTGCCAACCAGCAACCTGTCGACCAAATTCACGCGTCAAATACCGTAGCACACCCTGAACCCGCTCAAAACACGCGGTCCAACCATCTCCGGTCTTGAGGCGTTCAAGGTCACTCTGCGCTGTCACGTTCTTCTTATTCTTCTTTTGATGTAATTCAGCGAGGTATGCAAGGACCTTGTTGTGATGATTCGGGAGCAACTGATCCGACAAGGAAGCAGTGTGCTGGTCCAGTGACAAGTCCTGCTGAATGGCCTGCATGGCACTAAACAAAAGTGTTGTTTGATTGTACGACTGATTGAAAGAACATGAAAGAACTTGCCGCCGCGAAGACTGACAGACCAACGAATGAACATTTGTCATAGCATATTGACTACGCTCACGCAAAAAAGACAAAACCAACTTGCCTCCAGCTTGGTGCTCCACTCGTCCGGGTGACATAAAAGGTTGAGCTTGCAAGGGTTGACTGCGACCATAAAAAGACGTGTGCGACTTTGCGGCAGATTGAATGCGGAACTGTTCAAAATGAACGACCTGGTCACGTACTTCATATTGCGAAGTTCTGCCCCTACTGTCTGGGCGGTGTCGACTTTGGCCACATTCTCAAGCAGAACAATAGCCTGTGGCAATGGCAACTGCAGCAGACTGGCCCAAACTCAAAAACACACCTCAGATTTCAAGCTCTCTGCCCCTGAGGTATTGACGGGGCGCGACAGCCGTATGTAATGCAAGCTAGCCGACAAAGTATTGGAGCTCTTGCCGCAATCTTCCGACTGAGCCACAGAGCTAGGACTAGCTGCTCGCTGCCTTAGCTAATTATGATTTTGTTTCTTCCTCCATCTGAATGATTGTCAAGT